AAAATCTTTTTGTGTTTTTTTTTGTACATTACAATAGCTAAAAACACATAACAGGTAAGTCCTATGTATCTTTGTATTTTATAAACTCGATAAAGAGGTTTGTTAAAAAGATTGTTGATGATTTTTTTTTTGCCTTAGAATATCCGGCTTTTGTGCTCAATGTATCATGTGTGGTCATACAATTTCTTGATATATTTTTGACGATGAATTATCTGTTATCAAAAGACAATCAAAATTTATGTACAGTAACTTGAGATTTTAGTTGTAAGCGTGGTAATTAACAGTCGGTCACTGGTTGAATTTGAACATTATCGTTGTCAATTTAAACCACAAAATTGAACAATGAAACATAATCATACATACTGATTATACTTCACCTCTTTTTATTGAAAGTGTTGTGATCTGCGTTCTGTTCGTCTCAAAGATAACGTTTAAATAAAGTTAAATAAAGTAAATACAAGAAAAAGACTAAAAAGGGCCCACAAAAAAACAACAAAAAACAAAACAAAAACAAAACATACAGACACACACAAACAAAAAATTATAATGATAGGAGTATGGAAGACGTAATTGTTTCTGTTTGACTTGCACTTTATTCTAAGATAAAACTGAACATCTGGTTTTCGTTATATCTCTTATTGTGTCATGAATTTCAACAAAATAATAGTCCATCAAAGTATTGCTAAAACACATCGGATCTATGAGCAAATAAAGGCAACATAGAACATTGATGTCTAGATGATCATGTATCTATATTTTATGCAAATACTGTCACATTGCGATGCACTTATTATCGAGTAAAAGGGAAACTTTCAATATTTATAGAAGCAGGCGAAAGTACACGCGTATACATAATTGTCTTATTATAGTGTGATATTTTAGGTTTAGTCACGGACTGCAATAAGAAATTATACTATCTACGCTTAAAGTGTTTGTATTTAAAATGTTTTATGCAGTCTGGCAGCCATAAGTTAACAGAAAACATTTTAACTAACTACTTTTTCAGACACAAATCACCGTGTTTATCCAGTAATGTGAAAACAACGCAGGGATTTGCAAAAGTAACGCAGAATTGTAGAATTTAGTGGCTAAAACGAGCACCGCGATAAGTAAATGGACTAATATTTTTGTTGTACACCAAATTGGAAGAAATGAGTTAGTGCATACGGTTGCTGAGACATTATACTTTCAACCTCATCAAAAATACTTCCATGAAAATGCTTATTTTTCAAGATCATTAGTGAAAATGACGACCTGACTAGCATGTGGATGGCGATTTTAAGTTTCGTTGATGTCTTTAAATACAATAACGTACATACAACTTTATGGTATTTTTATATTCGGTGAACCTGGGACATTTTCCAATCTACTCGTGTCATATTACATAAATTTAGCAGATATAACGTAATTGAAATCTTTTTACGAGGTAAGGCCGAATTCGTGAATGAAGCACTGAAGCAACGGCTGTAATCTCATTAAAAGTAGCTAAATCCTATTTTACCAGCTTCCATCTATTGTTATACGACACTTGCAGTTTGAAAAATGTCTTTGGTATACAGAATATGAAAAAATAATGTTTTAAATGTGTTAAACATAAATGATCTATTTAACGAAACACAAAAGACACATTCAAAACGTAATCAGGTTGTCTTTCTCACGAATGATCTAAGAAAGTAAACAAATTCTTGAAATAAAATGTAATGCTGGTTAAAGTATAATGAAGTGGCAGCCGTATGCGCTAATTCATTTCTTTAAATTTGATTTAGAATAAAATATTTTGGTTCGTCATACTGTGTGATGCGTTTTGGCAATAGCGTTGTACAGATTCGGTAATAGCACATTTATGCGTTACTGGATATGCATGGTATAAATGCTGATGAGTATAAATATTTTGCGGAATGTTCTAATGGAACAGGAAGAAATGCACTTAGAAATATTTTTATAAAGTACACGAAATACGAATTATTAAATGGTCTCCAAATATGCACTCTGTATATTATATCGGTAAATAGCAGTCGCTATCGTGCGGTTTCACAGATTTTCCAAAATGTTTGAAATAATTAAATTATTTCATTACTGCTGGTTGTAATAAATTTACCAACCTTATTTAAATGAAGAAGAAAAAAAGACATAAAAGTAAAATATAAATAAACTAGGAAACTATGATAAGTTTTGATCAGCAGATGCAAAATATTAACCTGGTAAAGTATTTTAAGTTATAGCTAGTCATTTTGAAACTTATTAGAAAGTATTTTTATTATAAATGCATCACCTCGAGCTCTAAATACATGTATGTATCAGTGCAAATTATATATTGAAATGATTAAGATAATTTTAAATATTAGAATAATATCATTATATTATATACTAAATTCGAAATAACATTTATAAAAATGAGCGAATAATATAATGATCTTAAGTTATTGAGGTAATAAATCTTGAGTAGACGTAAGTATTTTTCTATTAAACTGACAAGCAGATGCAATATAAAAGGAGGCTTAAGAGCTCTATCAAAGGTATGAAAACCTGCCAAATAATGTGTTTATTAAGCTATTTAATCACGATGAAATTGAATGTAAATGAGCAATAAATCTACGTACCCGCAAGGCTGCTTTAACATGTTCAGGTTACATTAATACATTTTTAGCACATATCGATGTGTATTTGAACCTGTTCTCGATTAAATTGGTGATAACAATGCAAGTAAAAACATGCAACTATGCCTCTGACTACATTATACTGTACATTGGGAATCAAATATGAATTGTTAAGACATCTTAATACCGACAAATAATAGAATAAAAAGTATACAGAAAGTGGAAAGAAGTAAAGAAATAAAGAAACACTGTGCAAGTAAAAGTAACTGTTAGATTATGCAAAAGATCTATTATGTGTATGTATTCCGTTCGTGGTGTTATCTTGTCATTAGTTGTCGAAAGGATGTATAATAACAAACTGAGACGATGTGAAGGAAAGATATTAGAAAATTAATGACTTAGAACATTGGTTTATAGATTAGGCGCGCCTCCTTGTCAGTACATATATACTTTCCTGTTAGAAGATTCGGATTATTGACGACACTGTAAAATCAAGTTTCCAATTAACATATTATGCTGTTATCAAAAATTATTCCATGTTTTTTTTTAATTAAGCAGACGAGTGATAATATATTTTGATTATCAATTTCAAAGTGAAATTATGAAATATAATTTTAGGCGACCAATATTTGAATGAAGATGAGAAAATGTATCATGCCTTAGTAAAAATATCGTCAAATCACAATCAGTCGTAAGTGAAATGTGCTTGAAAACGAAGAACACATGATAAATCGCACACATAATGTGACAACATTTGATAAATTTGATAGAAATATTTTTCAAAAGTAATGATTTGATGACGTCATGAAAGGGAGCGTATGTCGTGACGGGGCAAAAATGTGATAAAATGACTGCAAACATTTAAAAGCATGAAGAGGATAGAAAACCCTATTTGTTTTGCATTTAAAATCAGGTTATATTTAACTCGTGAATACCAGCTATACCATCACTCATGGCTATGTCCCAAGTAAAAATATTACATAAAGTTTTCACTCCTTGAAATATATTTCGATCTTTCATACAAAATAAACACACGTGTTTTATCACACACCCGTGCCGATTTTGCGACTCCGTAAATATGGTATTGCACGGCCGTGCATATATTTTGACGTGACGTCATTAGCGTTATACAAACATAGTGTAAAGACGCGCTAAATGTTAGCGTTATACTATAGGCATGACTCTTATTTCACTTTAAACGGTCTATATATTTGGTATATGATAAAAAGAATATTAAATTCGTGTCAGTTCATTACTGAATTTATTGCACTCGTTGAATAAAATAATATCATGCTCGCCAGAGGCTCGCATAATATAATTTTATTCAACTCGTGCAATAAATTCAGTATTGAACTTACACTCATTCAATATCCTCTATCTATGATATTTCATAAGATATTGTTTTAAAAAGCTCGGAGATAATATGAGATCTCAGTCTATTTAAAGAATGTGTGTGAAGCGCGTAGAATATCTTTTTTTTACCTCATTTGCATTGCCATTTGTAAAACGTATCGTTTATTTTAAAATGTCCATTTGTATCTTGTTGCAAACATTATAACCTTTTTCCCACAAACGAAATGCAACTATTTCAGGAATTAATTTTGAAAATTAAGCGTTGATTGTACGTATACTTCTTCACTTTTTGAAAAGGTATTTAAATACCGGTATACTGATATTTTTAGTACTATGTTATCTAAACAATATAGCCTGATATATGCTAGAGTAACAAGGGTAAAATATATTGGTATTTGAGTATTTGCCAAATCTGCAGTACAAATAGCTTATTAGAAAATATTGTTCACCACTCTAAAAAAAGAATTGTCAACTTAAAATAATAGTAATAACATAAGATTTACAAAGGTTCGTGGTAAAATAATGTATTTCCATCCTTACATAATACGAACACACCTATTTTTTATATTTGGGACAACAAGACAATAAGGTCTCACATGGATAGTGCCATAGCCTATTATTACGAATAAGTCTAGATTCAAATGTGTATTATATTTTTTTTCTATTATAGATGTCGCATAAGCCGGTGTTACGGGGTAGATGGGAACGGTAACTTGCATCTATGTATAGGTTTAGTCTCATCAAGCTTGTGATAATTTCATTAGTCAGTCTTGGCTATCATTCAACACTTCGATTTCATTATTATAATTCATGGCTTATACAATATCATTTATTGATAAAGTGATAGCGCCTAAATGTACTCTATAATGGCAATCATTAACATATAAAGACAATGAATATCATGTATACATCAATAATATACATTCTAGCAATAATTGTGTTACACGACATTGTCAAAGCGTTCATTTTGCTTAGGCGCTAAGGTAGAATTTATGCAATTGTCATTGTCTGGGGGGGGAGGGGGGTGAAAAACGCAAATAAAGTAACGACTGGTGCTATGAATACGTTTATTTCATTTCACATTAACAATAAATAACTATTTGTTTACAACAAAGATACATATAATCACCACAGAAACAGTAACCCCGGGCTTATTTATTTCAAATAGTACTAATGGTTTGAAAATGTAGATGTTTAATCTGTACTAAATATGTGTTTTACACCATCATTTCAGTAAGTGCAAATTATTGCTCCTTGTGAAAGGAAGAAGACAAACACTGATAAAGGTTAATTAACCCACCGTCCATTTATCTTGTTAGCAAAAGAATGATTAATACCACTGTACGAACAGAAACCAAAATATAAAATTTAAAGATATCTAACAGATTGTAACGTTTGAAAAGATAAACTAACGTCTCCAACTTAACAAACTTAAACAAATGTTAACAGCTTATAATCAGCAGATTATGTTATCTAATATTTTACCTCTCATTGCGTCATATAGTAAAACTTGAAACACAATATACATTTTATCACTAGACAACATAAACAAGTTATCACAATCCTTTAAATTTATAACATACTAAATGTGTTATAAAACAGTCGCTTTACACTACGATATTCCTTACCCGTAGATATATATACACATTAACACACATATACAAGTATTAAACAAAAATAGCATGCTACGTGTTCTCGATAAAACTTTAAAAATTACGTTTTACACCTTGTTATTTAAAAGCAATCTTTACAAAATATATCGATACTGATATAAAGTTTGGAAAACTGTATGTTCTGATATTTGCAATCACACTTAGTCTTAAAATCTTTTTAAATTAGTGTTTTCGTCTTTTTTTTAAAAGATTGACTGAAACTTTGTCCTATTACTACTAGCACCGAATTTAAAACACTTAATATAACGCCTGTGTTTTATTTAAGGAAATGATATTATAAGAAATTCTCAAAATGCTGTCGCAATAGCGCTGTTTTATAAACGTATGCAGATTTGGAACAGACATTGATTCTTATTTTACTATACAATGTTTTAACAGTGACACATGTGAGTCATGTGCTTTTTTGGTTAAATACCTTTATTTGTTTCAATGTCTAAAATATATTAACACATTGATTGCGAATGTACAACACCTGTGTATGTTGTACTTCCCCGCCTTACTGTACTGTTAAAGTTATACATTGCAGACTGTTCAGCTCCCAAACTTCGATACTTGAATTTTGGACAGCAGCAAAACAAATAACGGTTGTAATATTTCCTAAACTGACTGCTCAAGAAATACAATGCATATGGATTTACGCATGAGTAAATATATGTCAAACAGTACGACGTGATCTTGAGGACGTGCCAAAACATATTGAACTCCGCATCAGAATGATAATATGCCAGTATTGAGATCTGTCTTGGTAACCAGCAGATAACGAATATTATAACGAATGACAAAACGACCTTGGCGACTTTTAAGCGTGCTTGGATTTGGCGTTTTTGTTGCTGGTTCATAGCCGAATCTTTCATGGATTCGCATGGCATTTCTCTGCTACTAAGAATCAGGATCCTTGCCATCAACGCATAAAACAGTCCTATAATGAATAGTGGTATGACAAAGAAGATGATAAATCTTGCCATTGAATGTATTTTTCCGTATATTGGTGGGTAATCTAACGGATATATCAAACATATTGACAAATGAATGTCTGAAGCGGAGGAATTCGTGCTGTTTCCTTCCATATATCCGGTAACATACTCCAACTTGCTTGTATATCCGTCGGGAATAGCTAGAACTACGGAGAGTATCCAGATACCAACAGCTGTCACAACCGTGATAAGAGTCGGTTTCCCAGTATGTTTACTCATGGGATGAACAATGGCAATGTATCTGTCACCGCTTAAAGCAGTAAGTGTAAAAATTGATACTCCCAGCGAAAGGGTCTGCATAAACTCATTGAATTTGCAGAGACCTTCACCAAATGGCCAAGAAGTCACCGAATAAAATGTTGAAGCAAATGGCACGGAACAAAGCAAAAGCAGTAAATCACCGATTGATAAACTTACAACAAATATATTGGGTGTATTCCTCATTGACTTATTCCGGAGCACTGTGAATATAAGGGCAGTGTTCCCTATAACTCCAACAAGAAATATAATAGCAAATATGATGGGCACAATAATCGCTTCTGGACGCTCCTCAGCCTCTATCAGAGGTTCTATAAATGTTGTGTTTTCAGTACTTTGGGCTATTGTTGCATTGTCTAAATTTGTTGTCATTTCTGTTGTTATAATGGCAGCCGCACTCATGTTTATCGATGTCGACGTATTACTACGTACAAATCCCTGCAATATATAATTAACTGCATTTGATATTACTATATGGCATAATTATATATTGACTTGGAGAAAACAAACTATCTACAGTATTGAATTTTCTAAATTTAAATTCGACCAAGAAATACTATTATATGGTATCATTTTTTTCATGATCAAAATCCATTAATGTTCAAGCACATGGAATACAAAGACACAATGCAAAAACATATTAATAATATATCAATTGTGATCTTTAAATGTAAAATGTAATGTAAACACACCGAGTATAATATAACTCATCAATATTCTATAGTGGACATTTAGGCTGAAGTGTAGCATCATTTAATTTCAAAAATTGATTTGACATACAAGTTTATTTTATACCTAAGCTATGGGATTATTACAGTTCATATCTTGTCTTAAACGTTTTCTAATATCAACTGTTGGTCAATATGAATTAGAATAACATTCAATCTTTTGAAATATTTCGGCAATTAAGCTCAACTTGACAATGAAGAAAAACAAATGCCACTTTAAGTCATGAATTATTATGAGAAATATAACTATGATGTATATTTATTATATTTTGATGGCATTTTTGCAACAAGATGTAATTACGTTCTGGACGATTGCTCTTAAGACTGGGCCATTGATTTCACTAATTAAGCATAATAATTAAACTTTGAATCAAGTAATCTTTATAAAACTCATAAGAATAAAAGTTGTTGTTGTTGTTGTTTTATGGAAAATTGTTTATGTATGGAAAATAAACAAAATGAGTCGATATTGGCTTTAAAAGTTATATAGAATCATGTGAGCAAAACCTTTAACATTTTAATTTCCGGCAAAAGTACAACTAATAAAGACTATTTTTGTAGACGCTCTTCTTTTTTCTTTTGTTACACTTCATTTCCCTCATAGAAGCCGCGAATTGCAGTTGATAAATCATTCAATGAACCACACTTTGAAGTCGATCCGACTTTATTTACTGCTATTGTACTCAGTATTAAAAGCAAAACTCTTATTTCCTGGTGATTTTCAATTATATTAAAAACGCATACAAATCTATAGTCACCAGTTATTGTATGATGATATACCGGTATATTACTTGGGACTGTTTTAAAGAACAATAACAATAGAAAAATTACCGTCATCTTCCTTGTTGAAGGCGGTGTGCTCAACGGTCCCAAGTGGAATTTCTACAGCAATATTGCCATGTCAGACTACAAATGGAATTATAAGATATTAATATTTATAAGTATTTCGTGCCAATATACTTTGTTATATATAATAAGAAAAGAAAGTTTTTTTTATTCTGCTCAATAAACATATTTAAATATTCAACAAATATTACTACAAATATAGATACATAAATAAAAACAATATTATTCAACTGATTATGTCTGTATTTCAGAAACAGATGGCTATATGTGATATACTTAAACCCTTTTAAGTTTGATTCCATCTACAATATTTCTGAAGTATGGAAAGGCCTTCATTAAATACTATTAAAGACGCACATCTGGTTTATGTTATATCTCTAATTCGTACTCAGTTTTTACAAACCGTCTGTCAGAAGTTTTGTTACAGAAAACTGTTGTCTGAGTTAGTGTAAGCAACATAACATATCGATTTATAGATGGGTGAGTATTTTTTTTTGTTTGTTATAAAACAGTTCTAAAATGATTTTCGCTGTTCACCGTTTGAAAAGCTAAAGTATGTATTAATGCATACAAAAGTAGCGAAAGTATTTAATGATTTGTTATAATAAATAGATGGTTATTATTCTATTTTGCTTTTCTTCTATAATTATATTAATCATGGTAACTTAAACGATATTAGTTAAACTATAATTATTTCACTTATGTCCATTTTGGACTTAATATTAAATTGTGCAAAATAAGCATTATTAAAAAGTATTTTCTTTGGTATTAATGGTATTATGGAACTATAAAAATATTACTATTAAGAATAGGAACGAAATTAAACGATAAATCATAAAATTTTGCACCTATCTTTTAATGACTGTCATTTGAAACATCTATAAATATTCTTAAGAAAAAATAGATTAAACAGTGTAAACAATAAATTTTATGATTTTCGTTGCGTCACTTATGGCGCTTAATAGCACTATGTACGCCCATTTCTGCATAATTAATCAGAAAAGAATAGCTTTAAGTTCTTTCAAATAGTATTTATTTCTAATTAATAATAATAACTTTTCACAGTTTAAGAATATATGATTCTTTATAAGAAATTACAGCTACTTCTGAGTCAAAGGATAAGTTGTGAATAGTTCATGTTTTAAGTGTTGATCATAGAACATAAATCACAACGGAATAAAATACCAATGTAAGTTATTTCAAAATTAACGTTATAGAAAGCAGTTAAAGTTAAAAAAAAAGTAACAAAATTATTACTATCATTATAAGTTATGGAAATATATCATTGTATTAGGACATTATCATATAAATGTTTCATGTTATAGACAAATAACATTTTTTGAAACCATATTAAGTCATTTAGATATTTAACTAGGTTTATATTATACAATAAGCTGCAAAGCATATAAAAACGAATAAAAAATAGAGAGAAAAAACACATCAGGCATTACAACTCTATCAAAGAAATGGAAACCTGCCAAATGACGTGTTAATAATGTTATTTAATCGCGATAGAATAAAATATAAATGAGCAGTAAATATTTTTACCCACATATTGTGTTTAAATTGTTCAGGTGGTACCGATATTATTTTAATTGTGTTTTGAGCTTATATGTATCTATTTTCGAATAAAATTAAAGCAAATTTGGAATTTAAGAAGCTTTTCTCTGTTCCTTCCTATCTAGAAACTTGAATAGGTTGAAACTCAAATAATAAATATTATTGCATTTTTAATCCCTCGTTAATATTTCAATATTAGAGAAGAAGCAAAAGAATGCATAAAGCTTAAACCCTATCAGCATAAAGAAAACCATATTAAAATATTATTACACAATTTTATATGGAAAAAAGAACAAAACATTACAGGTATTTAAACATAGACTGAGATCAACAACCAGAAATTGAGCAAGCATGCTTTACAATTAATCTGAGTTAACTTATACATTAATTCATAAGTTCTGAATTAATAAGTTCTGAATAAACAAAAATCTGTAAACAAACGCTTAAACACGTTATTTGAACACGACAAAATTATATTTTGATGTAGATGTAACGTTGTATGCTTTAATGGCAATTGTTATAAAGCACAAAAGTTCAATTTTTGAACTATATATAATACTAGTAAAGTGTATTATTATTTCTTAAAGATAAATAACTGTATTGAAAATTAAAATCAATATTATTTACGCAAAGATTATCATATTTAATCTAAAAGTTAAGTATGCATGACATATTTAAGATGGCGTTTTGAGTTAAGGTTCCCTACGTTGAGTAATTCAATAAGTAAGTGAAGGCTATCTAACAGTATTCTGTTTATCGAGAACGCATGCGCATGTTTGTAATTTTTCCTTAGGAAATATCTTATTAGTTAAAGATAAGATAGAAAAGTAATTACTTTAACACATTTACCAATTTATGAGAAATGACACACATGCTGCGGGGTATGTTTCTATCTGTTTTACATCTTAACATTGTGGTAAAGCAAGACATGTTATGGTAATAATTTACTAGAAAAAATATACTTTTGATATATGACACTTGCTAATGTGTCACTATGGCAATAAGCAAAATAGTTAGAACTTTTTATATATGCAAACACGTATATCTGATCTACTTTATGTGTGCTACTTTAACAACATATTTCGCTCATCAGTAAAGCTACAGTCTCACTTACATCCCGGCAGAGCCCCGGCAGAGCCCCGGTAGACGTCCGGGATGATCCGGGAACGACCGGGGTACGACCGGGAACAACCGGGGTACATCCGTAACTCTGCCGGCAACGTCCTGGATGATCCTGGATGATCCGGGAACATCCGGCATTCGACCCCGGATGGAATAAAATATTTAATATCACCGGGGTGGTCCGGGATGATCCGGGAAGGTATAGCGTTGCCGGCATCATCCTTAGCTCTGCCGGGAACGACCGGGGTGATACCGGGAAAGCACCGTAGCTCTGCCGGCACAAACCGGGGATGATCCGGGATATGATATAGCCGGTAGAGCTACGGTAGAGCTACGGTAGAGCCCCGGTATATGCCGGCAGAGCCCCGGTAACTACAGGCAGAGCCCCGGAGGATAAAGGTAGAGTTACGGTTGATCCCGGTAGAGCCCCGGTAGAGCCCCGACAAAGCCCGGATCATTTAAAAAAAATAAGGACAATTTTTGATGATTGAACTTGTTTGTATTAAAAGCCTTCCCATTTCCCGTCTATCCAGTATGGCATAAGAATTTTTCAGAAAATCATCATGAATTACAATTCTGGAACAATAGATATTATATTAAATAAAAAATTATGTATCAAAGTTATCATTTTCGGGCGTTTTCAATCCACCGGGGTTCTACCGGGGCTCTGCCTGGATCGTCCTGGGCTCTGCCGGAGCTCTGCCTGGATCGACCGGGGATCTGCCTGGGTCAACCGGGGCTCTTCCGGCGTCATCCGGGAACGACCGGGGAAGCACCGGCATGAACCGTAGCTTCACCTGGGCTCTGCCTGGATGATCCGGAGCGCATCCTGGGTGGTTAGTAGGGAACTACCGTAGTGCTGCCGGGGTAAGTGTGACCGCAACAATAATTTCATCCCGGATCGTCCCGGATCATCCCGGTAACTTACCGGGATGGTCCTGGGCTCTGCCGGGAGTAAGTGAGACCGAGGCTTAAGAAAACAGATAGTAAATAGTTAAAGAAAGACATATTAAGGTGATGTGAAAAGCTTCTACAAAGTCCATAGTGTACATGTAAAATGTTTGATTATTCCTGATTAAAGATGTATCAAATAACCTTCTTGGACTGGTTTAATATAGATTTATTTGACGCAACAAAGACAGTATCAGTTTTTCTTTTTTATGGCATGATTTAATTAAGCAAGAGATGTCGAGCACGACAAACCATCGTCACTTTCAAAATGACGTCATTCATTTCTTTTACATACTTTAGAATTAATACTAAACCTTAACAATAAACATGTAGAATTACGTACATTTTAAAATCAACATTTCATCTTCAAAATTTTATACAAAAACATCTCAAAGAAATATATTCTAAACAAAGTGATGCAGATATGATGCAGTTTTAAAATGATTTAAACAATACAATAAAGTTACTTTATTTCCAGACATGAAAATAATTTTGCTCTTACATAAGTTAGATACCGACGATTTGATATAGTAGATATATGTAAATTCGTTATATCGTCCATCCTGATTTCGTATTATTAGTCATACATATTCATTAATAACAAAAGTACTCAATGTCAATTTGAAAAAGTAATGATAAAGTTGATATATTATTTCTATGATGTTGTCTTTGATAGGTCATTAGTTGTCCAAATGATGTCAGACAATCTTAACTGATGTGAAGGGAAGATATCAGAAACTAATGAAGTACGAAAAATTTTCTATAGATTTCGGCGCGGCTTGTCAATAAATACGAGCGTATATCCAGAATGACATTTTTCTTTCAGTTTATTTTGGTGGTTGACAACAATTGCTGTTTCAAATCAACTAATGATTTCTAATAAAATGTAGTTTTTATTGCAAATCTTGTTGAACAACTTAATTATTTCTTTTGTGGAATTAAAGCATGAAGTTCAACCATTTTTAATTTACTATTGAAAGAGTAGCGAACATGCTTTTTTGGCTTAGATTTCTTGCTGTTTTGAATTGTTGTAAAATTCAAAACTACAGTCTATATAATTTATAATTGTGACGTTTGTTCTGGACGTTTTCATATCTCCCTCTTTTTAAAGCATAGACCACAACAGTTAAATAACCTTTGCGATAGACATATCTGTCTCAGCGGTGTTTATTGCTTATTTAACACCGTTTTGGAGTTTTGATGCGTATATATTAACCATTTAGACCGTTGTTTATTTATACTTATCCAGGGAACATAATAACCTATAAGCTTAAGTCTGAAACATATAATAGTTGAAAGTTCAACATCAAATAGCTGAAATAAATCGAATATCCGTTTAAATGTTCATAGTCGAAAACAGACGTTTTTGCTTCATACTTTTCAATCTTATAATAACGGAAAACTTTCATCCGGGTTATTTCTAGCACCGACATGATCATGGAATTCTGATCCATGTCAAATAGGGAAACGATTAAATTGATATGTTTGTCTTTTTTCGTTTGTTGTAAATCTATGGTACTAGAAAATATATTTGTTTAATTACATGAACTATTTTATGACCAATATATGTCGACTTAAAGACTAGAAGTTACCATCTATTTTTATTTTATTTTTCCCTTCAACCAGATGGATACCTGTTGAAATGAATGGTGAAGGTATTTATCATTTACAGGAAATAGTATATTTAGATTCAATCATGCTATCATTTGTTTTATAATGATAAGAAAATACAAATACACATAGGCAATAATTTTGACGATGCTTTATTCACCCTGTTTTTATTTATTTATCATTAACTCGGTAATAATTTTTTTATCAAAATCAATTCTCAATATAATCATCATGTATGCTCTTTATTCTCAGATTTTTGTGTTATTCTTTTTTTCTTCCATTTGTTTTAATCTTTCCAGAAGTGTCTCCACTTGCAGAAACACCTTCAAACCTTCAAAGATACCAGTAAAAAAATTTTACTACAACCATATTTTTGATAAATTTTAGATTTAAACAGTCGAATATTGAATATTTATTTATGTTATGTTTGCAATGGTTTTATTATAACTTCAATGAATACAGTAAGAGCAGATGTAGTAAATAGTTAGAAAATATTCAAACAAAAAACGAGATAATTGAACTTTCCCAAACTATTCTTTGCCTGTCATCATTTCTATCAAACATTAATTTATCTTACATCATCAGATTTTGTTAATGCTTTTACTTTTACTTTAGTTGTCTGTGCTATTTAACTAAAGAAGACACAATTCTTATATTAAAAATGGTACGATGTGTAGAGCTTAACAAGTATTGATAATTTAATGAATATACATCGTATCCAAATGATTCCACCCTCGTTTTTCTTCCATTACATTTAATTAAGTTAATCTCGGGGTACTGTTACATATATTATTAATTTTCCATTCCCTTTATGTGGCAACTTGCCAATTTTCAGATATTTTTTTATCAAAAGTTGATCTATGACTTTGCTGACTTTGTAGCAATAATGTAATAATGATATTTCTTAAGCATCATTTCTCTTGGAAAGAACTAACCGCACCTCAAGAAGTTCGATACCCCTTGACGAGTATTATATTTGACGTATGCATCAAGACAAATAAAACCATACGAAAAATGATTTTTTTTATAATATGGAATACATCTAATAGTGGGCATCTAATAGGTTATTGTGTGCACATATTTTTATTTTCTTGTTAATTGAATCATTTATGTTTTATTATTTTTCTGCATTTTAAAATGTTATAAAACTGTGAAAAAAATAATCATGAATTATTTCAAGGGATATAATCTACAATTTAATATCACGCACCTGTTAAATTGCACATGTGTTGCTTACACTTATCAAATAACTTTAAGATAATCAAGCGTTCGTTTTATGGTCCTAGAACATACAGGAATAAACTTTTCAATGTTTACGTAAACATGCGTTATCAATAATTGAATATCTTTTTTTTCTGGTTGAAAATAAAACCGTAACATTTTTTTTTTTAAATCATTTTTTTTTCGTTTTTATCGTTTTTCTAGTATGAGTTTGATACATTTTCTGGACACAATTTGTCCGTATTTAAGTGTTTAAAGCCTAATTTAAATGATAAAACGCAAAATTCTACAATACATTTATAATGCCATTCTTTACTATGTCGTTTAAGCCGTTGACATGAATTGTTAGCTTTCTGAAAGATAATTTTCACGAAAATAATAGAGACATTTTGTGATAAGAACTAATTAATTAAACATTTCATCGGCATACCTTATTAACTAGAGAATGTTTCTGGTACACTGAAACAAAAACTTTCTCTAGAAACAATTATAAACGATTGATGTTGCCAAACGCTAAGATGACATTAATTAACAGCTACTTTTTATTACATCACAGAATTTGTAAGCACGGTCGGAAATCTTTTTAACCAAGCTAGAAGCGCGGCAAAACAAATATATGCATTTACATTGCTTTTTTTAATCCCATACAGGACAAAAATGCACGTGTCTTACAGTATAATAAACAACAAAAACAAAAGTTTTCATTAACTAATAAAAAAGTGTCCACGTATTAAAAAGAAATAATGTTTGATTTCATTTTATCTTATCTACGTTCAACATATAAACTGATTGTAAATATTTGTAAGTATTTTCTTTTTTTTTTATTTTGTTGAAGCAAACAGTTGTATTAGTTTATCAATTTTTAAGACAATGACAAAACAAACTAACCTGTTGTATATCTAGTACATATAATATCCTTTTTTCAAGATGCAATGATTATAAAGCTCTCCAGAGATAACAAAGAATGAGTGTCCTCTTATTATATCCTAATTCACCAATTTCTTCAGAACTTTCAGTCACGAATTCTAACGCTACACCTTTACTTTATCAGTGTCTCTAGACAAATGAAGTAAATTTTCTAAGTCAATCTAACAAGTCTTCAGTAAGCGCGAGTTATCATAATTTAGACAGGCAGCGAGTTTCTACATAGGAAACATCTTCGATAAAAGGACGCTGCTGATTGGTCGATTAGGTGAACGCTTAAATGATATTTTGCCTGTTACTTTGCTATTCTCCGTCAGTAATTTGTTTCATTCATGCTTTGTTACCTAACGATGGGGTTATTCGTGATGGTGGAATAACATATTAAATAAATAATTGAAGTCCGAAAGTGCTTTGTCTATAAAGAAGTGGATTTTTACGCTACTTCTGACAAATGACTTAGAAAGACGATCGTCTACTGTCCATTTATTAACACGGCTTTATGTGTGTCCAGAATCCGAAAAAGGAATTGACTTACACATGTTTAACGCATGAAATTTTTATGCATGAAATTTATATTTGTATTTTAATGATTTTCTAAAGAGCTGAAAATGTAGCATGAATTAGAAATCTATTTCAAAGTTTAAAAAGTATCAACTCTGTAATACATATTTCAGATCGGAATTATCGGTGAATTATTTAAAATGAGTTATACCACAATTCAGCCTCCTATGCAACACAAAAAAATAGATAAATAAATAAAAAATAATTTAAAAAATGCATACATTTTCTGCAGCTTTGATTCAATTTTATAAATGCTATTATCCCTGGAATCGACGGAGAGTGTATTTGGAAATAGTATACATAACAATTCCAGCACATCGCTTATTTACATGAAATCATTTCTTAATTATTTTTTTGTTAAATATATAAATTGAATAATATCTAATTTTTCCTTTGATTTACTGAATAATTTCTACGTCATTTCTTTAATACGAGATGAAATATGAAATTCATTTCAGAGGAATTATATGCTTAAAAGACAATTTCATCTGCTCATTCGCTCACGAAAAACTACTAATATATATATCGAAAAAAAAACACACTAAGTTATAGTATTATATCCGAAAAGAAAACATAATTTATCATTATTTTTTTGTTAAATCAGTTTGAACTCTTTATTAAAAATAGAATATTTCATTAAATTTGAATATTCTATTCCTTTTTAATCTTAGTCCGGTAGGAATCGAATATAATATTAAGAAATAATCTGTAGGCGCTTTTCTGTACTGAACATACTTCGCGGACAAAGAGAGATAACTAGCTTCTACTACATTTCTGTAAAATGATACGATATACGCTATCAAAGAGGCAAATTCTTGAATTCTCCGGAGGGCTACTATGTCTAAGGCTGTACAGTAATATCTTGTTTCATATCTCTAAATCGTGATTAAAACTAATTTATGGTGGCGCTGTATATGTGTTAGTAATTTAGGTAATTCGCAATACAAAGTAGAATTTATGATAGGGCATTTCCTTGAGATGAAGTATTAACTTGTTGCATTGTTAAAAAGCATCATTAATTCCATTAAGCGATTAACTGTGCTATCTAATATTATAAAAAAATTAATGTAATTTAACTAATTACAAAAATGTGTACTTATATACTCTCCACCATGCACTTAAATATACACGCCAATTCAGTACATGCTAATATATATACATAATAATTATAATTATATTAAATAGTATGATATACCCGATGATCTACGAAATTCTCTTAATATATATTTATATAAATATATTTTATATGATGACTACCAATGTTTGTATTACAACATTCTATGTATATTTATTATCACTTCATTGTATTTTTCATTACAATGTCATGTTTGTTTTATTATGTTTGTATTTTGGGTCGGAGATGATACAAAAAATAAACTTTACTATTACTAATAATCTTAAAGATTTTATTCAGCTTACTGATACTTCTGGTAAATTTGCACAGTTAAATTTCATGTTCCCTGAGCCATTCAAACTACCAGAAAATTAGGTACGACGAATGATCTAGAAATATATATAATTTAGCCATAAATTCAATACTATTTATTTACATCACTTGATAAATGTCTTATATATCCTCTTTGCATGAAAAGAAAAAATAAAACAATTAGACACAGTATGACTATCGCGTGCGTATCCAAGGAAGCATAGTTTTGCGCATACGGTGCAGTCTGTACGTTGCAACAACTTCAATAGCGTTGACATGAAAACAATAAATAAATAAATGAATGAAGAAATACAAAGTATTTACCGCTGTTTAGAAAATATGCTAATAAGTAAATATGTTCTCGTACAATGAGCTTTTACATTTGTTGGAAATTACGGATGTCGCTCTCTGTAAAAGTGCTAGCAACTCAAACTTATAAATCTTAAACTTCGTTCGATTGCTGGAGAAATCGAAATAAAATTGTATCTCAAGATGGAGGAAGGAATCTGTTTTTATTTATTTATATATCATTGATTAAGATAAACAGATCTATGTGCGTGATAAAATTAGATGTTAGAGGAAAAATAAATCATGACTGTACGAAAATACAATTGCATATCTGTTGAAATCGTAGCTCATTATTAGATTACTAAGAAGTCAATGTTTCCTTCTAATTCGATATCAGTGTAACAAAAAAGAAATCATACATGTAACTAAAAATGAACCTACGAAATACTAGATTCCGACAGAAATCTACAGAACAAAAGTCAAACACTGACAAAAACGATAACCTTCCAAACTTAATTTATATACACTCTTGCTTTATTTTTAATCTTTTATTTGTTTTTATTTTTTTGTTTTGACCGATCCAAATAAAACAGAACAAATGGGACCGGAAGGGGTCGAGATAGGTAATTTATTTGATTTTAGGAGCTCATCTGCCGGATAAAAACAGTTTAATAGATATTGGTGGTAATTGATTGAATATAATTATATGAGGTTGAATTTTGAAAACATACATTTGCCTACACGTATCATATAATTCTATATTGAATGGATATGTACTTTTACCAGTTTATTTATTTTGATTGTAATGTATGTGTTGTACATGTGAAGAGACGTAAATAAATTGAATTGAATTGCATCCTTTACATTGACATTGGCCGCATTTTCTTTGTTACTATACTCCTATTCAGAACTACATTTTGAGTGACCCGATCTTAATTATGTTTGTAAGATTTATATTTCACTATGTTCATTATCTTTAGGTTCAGTCTGAATATTGATTTTACCCCTATCTTACACACGCGCAGTCGAGATTTACGAGTGAGCTGAAAACTTTCGTTGTAATGAATAATATACAAGCATCTATAGAGATTGTCCATATAACAAAGACATTTTATAACCAAATAAAATCTATTAAACGTGAAAAAGGAAAGGCGTTCTGTTCAGGCACATGTCCGACAGAGGTTGTTCGGAACCCTGTATGCATTTCGTCAGTTTTCTGCCAGAACTCACACGATAACAATTTTTCCTTTTAAAGCTCAGTGGCAATCGGAGAACTTAATACGCATATTTCTATCCTATCCTGCCACAGAATTGTATCATCTTACAGTTTTTTACCGTTTGAAAATGTCTATACAGCACGTACAGAATGTTTGTATACTAGATACTTGTGTGGCATTTCATTTATCATATTAAATGGTTTTGGAGAATTTTGAAACTTTTCGGGTTTAACATCAGGTTCCGGCGAACTTGTTGTTGTTTGTTTGTTTGTTTTAATGATATTCTTCGCGCCGTGTTAGCTGCGTCGTGGTGGTGGCGGCACCATGGCTGTTTTAGGCGGACTGAACTGAAACTTAACGACATAAAATATATTATATTCTTTACCCTTTAATGGACAAAACGTTGAACTTTAAACAGTTATAAATTTATTGAAGAAAGCATTAAAATTGTCAGAACTATAAACAAATTTCGGGTTATTCAGGACAATCCAAAGTATCAGTCACATTTTGTGGCATAGCTGTATTGTGCACTTAAAATATAGTTCTTCTTAACAAAAACACTACGTATATAGAATCAATACAAAATTTCTAGTTTATCTCGACAAAATGCAAAAAGTATATTTATGCAAATTTGTTAATTGATATATTTGGATGATATACGCCTGTGAAATATGCATAAACATTATCAACATTTAGTTTAACTAGCAGGTCAAATGAGACCTACAACGGCAAAACAAACATTTATAGGTACTCAGTTGATGACAGAATATCAACTATCAGGACAGAAAATTTCCGATAAACACCAATTACAGGACGATTAACGTCAAACACCCTAGAAAAACTAATTAATCTAACAAATCATATCGCACGACTACATTTGGTTATGACAACATTCTGTCAAGAACAGATTAATTATTGAAACATATTTGATGGTGATGTTTGTTAGAACATGACGAGATTGGAGCTTCAATGAGAAAATCAATCAGGTTATCGTCTGCAAATTAGAGGAGTGCCGAGTATACCTATTATTTATATGAAATACTTGAGCGCAAAGCCGATCATATGTGTATTAAAATACTCGAAGCGTGTGTAATGTTTGGTTACAGGTATAAAAATGATGTCTTGGCAATATAGAGATAGTTAACTATTTGTATTGTTTAGTCTGAAATTGTCACTCTTTAATTTTGTTTACAATAATATCGGAAGATCTCTAAGTTGATCTCTTTTTAACCATTAGAAATTTTTCTTAATATTGTTGATATGTATCGTTCGCCATTAAACATTTTTTCAACACCATTTAGCAATGACTATTGCTTTGGATGAATGTAATGTTGTCGCAGCAGGAATTGGTGTCTGTATTTACTTCGTTTAAAATATGTATGTTTTAAGTGCAATAATTCAATGTTATTAAAAATGATAAAAATTTCTCCTAACGCAACATTTGCAATAATTTCTTTGTCATGAATGAAATGAGTATGATGCCCCATAAAGAATATGATAAAAAATATATCCGACTTATGTTCTATAACATCCAATGTTGCTCAGTTTGTTAATGTAGCCGTGTTTCGCCTTCAGAATTTGAAACAACTATGCATTATTTTCAATGTTTTGTTGTTAATTTTATGGTACTGATAAATGAATATACATTTTTATTATTTATTTTACCGAAACAAGTTGCTGTACAGCTCATCTGACACTGAATGCGTGTAAATTAAAATTAAAAAAT